ACAGTAATTGTTCATGAATGGTGGTTAACAAAATAATGACATTCTTTCAATGAGACAACGTATCAGAGTCCCATTAAGCTATATTTTAACTTGCCAGGGAAAACCTAAAAAAGCCAGCTTACTAGCTTGTAGGCTAACAAATGTTTCTCTTATAATATTTGTCTTATTAGTGCTTCATCAAGGGGATATTAATGGGTTCCAGAACTACAGAGTATCATAACCTTAATAATAATATTTTCCTAATTTTCTTAGCTTCTGCTTACCGCGAGTTCTCCTCCCTCTCCCCACTCACGCTGATCTCTCTCCCTCTCATCATCTTCCTCACCACCAATATCGGCCACGGGTGCTGAAGATGGACCTGCACCTGTACTAAACATGTCGGTTATTTTGACACAAGCGGCAGCATCAGCACGAAGGGCCTGCTTTTTTCTTGCCCGCAATTTTTCTGCTCCCCCTTTTCGCTTGGCCTTCGTCTTCGCCTTCGCCTTCTCCATTTCTAACTCGAACTTTTTTTTTTCTCGAAAAAAAAGGCAGTTTGGCTTCAACGGCCGGCTCACCGACGTGGTACCGAAGGTTTCTGTACGGACATTCCCAAATCAAAAGCCCTGGGTAAACGGTGAGGTGCGCGGCAAACTGAAAGCGCGCACTCTCGCGCACACAGCGGGAGATTTGGAGGAGTACAGGAAGTCTAGGTATGATCTCCGGAGAGCAATAAAAAATGCAAAGAGACAGTACAAAGAGAAGGTGGAATCTGACTTCAAAGGCTGTAACACTAGGAATATGTGGGCGGGACTAAGGACAATGACTGACTACAAAGGAGCAGCGGGGGGTGCTGCGGGAGTGTCTGCGTGCGCATCTCTCCCAGATGAGCTAAACAGTTTTTTTGCACGCTTTGAGAGCAGCCAGGCTGTGGAGGTACAGAGGGACCAGGAGCTACACTGCCCTTTTGTTTTAAATAGGGCAGATGTGTGTAAATCCTTTAAAAGGGTTAACCCACACAAGGCTCCTGGACCTGATGGCATCCCTGGCCGTGTTCTCAGGGTGTGTGCAGTTCAGCTGGCAGAGGTGTTCACAGACATCTTCAACAGGTCCCTGCTGCAGTCTGTAGTCCCCACATGTCTTAAACACTCCACCATCATTCCTGTCCCCAAAAAGACAATCATCACTTGCCCCAACGACTACCGCCCAGTAGCACTCACCTCCATCATAATGAAGTGCTTTGAGCGGTTAGTCAAATTATTCATCACCTCCTCCCTCCCTGAATCTCTGGACCCCCTGCAGTTTGCCTACAGAGCAAACAGGTCCACAGACGACGCCATAGCCCTCACCCTCCACACTGCCCTCTCACACCTGGACCCGAAGAAGAGGAACACATATGTGAGAATGCTGTTCATTGACTACAGTTCAGCATTCAACACCATTGTGCCCTCCAAGCTGGCCATCAAGCTCAGAGACCTCGGACTCAACAGCGCCCTCTGCGACTGGATCCTGAACTTCCTGACGGGCAGACCCCAGGCAGTGCGGGTGGGAAATATCACATCCTCCACCCTGATTCTTAACACCGGTGCCCCTCAAGGCTGCGTGCTCAGCCCTCTCCTCTACTCCCTGTTCACCCACGACTGCGTGGCCACACACAGCTCCAACACCATCGTGAAGTTTGCTGATGACACGACCGTCATCGGCCAGATCACAGACGATGACGAGACGGCATACAGAGAGGAGGTCGAAAACCTGACATCTTGGTGCCAGGAGAACAACCTCCATCTCAACATCAGCAAAACAAAGGAGCTGATTGTGGACTACAGGAAGCAGCAGGGAGAGGGACACGCCCCCATCGCCATCAATGGGACTACGGTGGAGAGAGTCAAAAGCTTCAGGTTCCTTGGGGTCCACATCACTGAGGACCTGACATGGTCTCTTCACACCACCACCATCACTAAGAAAGCTCGACAGCGGCTCTTCTTCCTCCGCAGGTTGAGGAGGTTCAAAATGGATTCCAGGATACTCTGCAACTTCTACAGGTGCACGATAGAGAGTATCCTCACTGGCAGCATGACGGCCTGGTACGGCAGCTGCACCGACCTCGATCGTAAGGCTTTACAGAGGGTGGTGAAAACTGCACAGCACATCACCAGGACGGAGCTGCCATCCATGGAGGACCTTTACTCCCAGCGGCTCAGGAAGAAATCACTACGGATTATCAAAGACCCCCATCACCCCAGCCACAAACTGTTCTTTCTGTTGCCGTCTGGCAGACGTTACCGCAGCATCCTGGCAAGGACAAGAAGATTCGGAGACAGTTTCTTCACGCGGGCAGTGAGACTGTTAAAAAAATTGAACTGTTGAAACAACTTCAAACATTCAACTGCTACTCAGTAGTATGTATCTAATACCTAATATATATATATCATTCCAATAACTTGTATATAGACTCATACTGCACTATTCCACATCATAACTTTATTTCATTTTTATAACTATTATTATTTTTGTATTGCTCTTGCTCTTATTGTTATTATGTTATGTTATTATGTTGCATTGTTGGAGAAGCCTGTGACATAAGATTTTCAACTGCATAATTACTCTGTAGCTATGTCAGATTGACAATAAAGAACCTTGAACCTTGAACCTTGAACCTCCTGGGGGCGTGATTTAATGATGCACACCGAGCGGCCCAAAGGGGGAGGTGATTAAAGATTTGATTGGGCCAGCCCAGTGTCAATTACTAAAAACATTTAAACAGAGGGCCAATCTACCCGTCTTATGGGCCGGACTTCAGAAAAAAAAAAAAATGACGTGTCGGCCCAAAAGGCACGTCGGCCCACCGGGAAAATGCCCGGTATGCCAGATGGCCAGTCCAGCCCTGGCCGTCCCTCCCTACAGGCCGATCATGCAGACTGCGTGGGGCCTCACCTTGCGGAGGGTGCCTCAACTGAGCCGAAAATGTGGCGCACCTATGCGCTTATGCTGCGCAATTAGTATGGCCACGTCGACGCTCGCGAAACAGAGGGTCTCATCATATAACTTTGCGTGGGGCCTCATGTTGGCCAGGGACGGTCCTGCATATAATCATATAATCCGTTCTTATTGTGCATCCATGGGTAAAGGTAAAACTCATGTAGTACTGAACACGTCACATGAACGTGCCGGGCGGCGCGGTCCCGTGGGTTAGATGCGCGTTCATAATGCAGAGGAAAATAACTCTCAGAATAACGTTATTAGCACATTTTACAACTTGAGGAATGAATGTTTTTAATAAGGGCTATACAAATGTTCATACTGGGTAGTTTATTTAGTTTGTAAAAAATTATCCAACGATTTACGGACGTCTCTTTCCCAATGTTAGTCAATGGGAAAAAGTCTTTCCGGGCCCAGCGACTGATACGGAAGTGTAGTACCGCCGTTTGGCCACAACAAATATTTTCCTCAGAGTCCGGCGCACTTCCTGGGGGCTTGCTTCATTTGCGTAATCTTCCCTCAGGGAATTTATAGAGAGGCGAAGTCCCTCCCCTTCCGGTTGAGCTCCATGGGACCTTATTTCGGAAAAGTTATGCATTGAAGTCAATGGAGAGAGAAAGATTATCTTTCGATCCCGTTTGTATTGTGCCACGAATTACACATATGATGTTTGTCAATTTAAAAGATAATTTTACAAGTCAAAAAAATAAAAATGTGTCGTAAAACTGTGAAGTAACACTTTTTTTTTGTGTGAAACCGCTCAATGAACTACATCTCCCGTCTCGCACCACACACCAAGACAGCCGTCACGTTGGCACATTTCACTTCTTTCTTTCAGAATGAGGCGAAAAGTATTAAAAGAGGTGAAAATCACTACAAGTCTGGGCATGTTGAGAGCTGTACATACACAAAAGGGGAGTTAGTCGGTTCCGTAAGAGCCAGCATGCGGGACCGGGATTCTGGGATTTGTAGTCTTTCGAGTTGCGTATTTTTCATAGTCTTATATTTCAACAGTTTTACGACAAACTGTGACTTTTTTGACATGGACATTATTATTTAAACAAACATCATATGTGTAATTCGTGGCACAATTCAAACGGGATCGAAAGATAATCTTTCTCTCTCCATTGACTTCAATACAAACATTTCCGGAAATAAGGTCCCATGAGTCCCACCGGAAGGGGAGGGACTTCGCCTCTCTATTCCGGTGTGAACGCGATCGGCTCTTAGTTCCATGGGGGTACTAAGTGCTGGGAACTAAGTGCTGGGAATAAAAGGTGGGGTAGGTAAGTTTGAGAAACCGGCTCGAGATACACTTTTTGTTATATTCCATGGAATGCTCTTAACATCCCGATAGCAATGAATATCTTAAGTGCTTTGACAAAAAATCCATAAAAAAATGTCATCTGTGGAAGCCGTAGTACTGTAAAAAGCACGACCAATCATTTTAGCCGACCCGGCTAAAATAACTGGATGGCCTACCTGCCTGTCAGCCTTCCATCTGTGCACAAATTTATCTCGTGCCCTCATTGGTCATGTGCGCGTTCGTGTGTGTTGGAGGAGGGGCTCTGTAAGGAAGTGGCAGATTTTTTCCGGCTGTGTATTCTCAAATTCTAGCGATCTCGAGCTGGTTTCTCCAAAATTACCTACCCCACCTTTAAGTACGGCAAAGTACTTGAAAAGCGTGAAAGTGTGAAAGATGAATGAATGATGAGATGAGTGAGTGTGCTCTGTGTGTGCCCTGAGCTCAGCCTCACAGGCAACCCCTTTTCTTAGCTAACTAAACGTGCCGTCTTATTTAGCAGTCTGGCTTGCCTTCAAATATAATCCTAACCTTCAAGTCCATTATCTATAGTTTCTCATTTTCGCCATTGAAAGTTACTTTTAATGCAGCACAGTCTTTACATGATCATAGGAGGCTATTTCGGGACGTCTGCTAACGTAAACACGGAAATGGGAACCGTCTCCCCTTCCTTCACCCTATCAGAAAGTAGGCGTAAATTCATAGCATAGTACCATTGGGTTGAAGTTTGCCACTCCCTTGTTATATATAATATAAATAATAACAACCGGTAGCTGTGCTAGCATGTGGAACGAGAACCTGTGGGACAAGAAGCACGTTTTCCTACAGCACTTAAAGCAGTCAGGGACCTGAATACCTCATTCGTTTGCCGAGTTATCTCAGCGGAAACACCGGAGAAAGCAGCAGCATGTCGGTGGACAGCGTGTTCAGGACCCGCTCTCTCGGTGTGGCCGCCGAAGGTCTTCCTGACCAGTATGCCGACGGCAAGGCAGCCAAAGTCTGGGAGCTGTACATCGGAGACACGCAGAGTAGGACGCAGGAATACAAAAGCTGGGTGGTCGCTCTGCTAAAAGAGCAAAGGGTGAAGAAAGTGCTGGATGTAGCCTGCGGAACAGGGTAATGTCAGGCACAAGCTTTGCATTGGTCACTAGTGTAGCAGTGAACGTCCCACCAAACTTCATTACAAATGTGTTCAATTTGTATGCATATCCTTTGAAATTTGCAAAAGTAACACCCGAGTCAAAACTTTTACACAGTTTCCATAGTTGCTCAACCCAACCTTTAATTCGGCATTAATTCTATACATCAAGTCAACAACATTAAAAAGAAATGTCACTGTTTGTCATTTGTATCCAGATACAGCAATAATATTAGCAACCGTGGTACAATAAGTGATATATATTGAAGAGATGCAATGTCAAACGCTGCGCAGATTTAAAAAAAAAAATTTCGTTGGCCGAATTGTAGGCTGCACCCAGTAATGTAAGTATTAGTATTAGTCATATGGCAGTCATTACAACGTGCTGATAACAATTGGGCTGTAAAAAAAACCTCCCATGTTTGTGAATGGTGTGACTGAGTGATCATTCTAATTTTGTAAAATGGTTATTATGGCCACGTTTACGGTTTTTCTATGTTGTTGTTTTTTAAAGACTTTTAACGTTCTTGTTCTTGAGAGTGACATAGACACATATAAGAACACGTACACCTGTGTAAAGTAGTTTATTTGAGAAAAGATCATTCCTACTGTAAAAGTATTATAAATGCCCTATGTTCTACAATAAATCTGTAAGTTTATCTGAATAGACAGATGTCAAAACATTAAAATATAAAACATAAGAGTACAGCATATATTAGGACTGGGCAACATATCAATATTTTATGATCATGATATTAGAGTACATATCAAATTTGATTTTGCATATCGTATAATGGCCTAAGTGTTGCCTTGCTGTAAAGGCTACATTATAGTAAAATTATGCAATTTCACACTTTTTATGATCTGTCTTTGCCTACTTAGTCATGATATCCAGAATGCTGATTTTGTAAACATTTTATGTACCCTAAAATATGTCGCAATATTGATATGAAGGTGCTTGATCTAAATTACTATTATTTGATATAAACCGAATCGCCCAGCTTCTCTGGAATTTGGATCCGCTGACTCTTTTAACTCTGGACAATAACCGGCTTAGGCCGGAGAGTAATGAATGAAAGTGCAGAGTTGCACCAGACACTGTGCCAGCTGTCTGGAGCTGAGACCATGAGCTGACCCATACTGGCTAAAATAACTTTAACAATACAACTAAGACGGATTATATGGTCTAACAAAGTTTAGTTTCGCATATCTGTAAATATGTTTTGCTTTCTACTGCACATTTACACCAGTTACCCTCATTCAAAGCACATTCTAACCAGGGCTGTGAGATAGCAGATGTAGGGTTCAGTGGCCTTTGACCTGGTTCTATGTTGTTGCAAGGAGTTTTGACTGGTTCTGTGCAGTCTGTTTACCTCTGCTGATAGTGTATCTGCGCCCTGGAACCACAGCAAGGCCATTGGCTGAACACAGACAGGAGGACAACATACTTTAACTTTAACCTATCTCAACCTCAATTTGTCTGAGAGAAGTTGTTCAAGAGATACAACATTTAATGTCATGTACACCAGGATTTTACACTAGACAGAAATGTTTTATCCTGATACTTCTTAATTCATATTTTACATAAGGCTGCAGGTACCCAGTATAACGGCCCACAGGCTCTGACAATTTGTATAGTAGTTCCACTCAAGCACCACCATGTGAGGCGACGTAAACACGCTCACAGTGGAATGAGTTTACAACTGGCCTCACTATTTTTGGCTGTCTAAATGTGCTCTCCAGTTGTTCTGCAGTCATTTTTAGCAACAACTTATACAAGCGCAGCAGAAGCTGCAGATCATGCTTTCAAATTGGAAGATAATAATCATAAATTGCAGATTAATTACCTTGATTTGATTTGGGATTTGTTTTTCCTGTTGGTTTGATTTTTTCTACATTTATATATTTACAGTCTATATATTTAGAGATATTTTACGTAGAACCCCTGCAACCAGGTTGTGTTTTTTTGGTGTGTATCTGTTGTATATTGTATATATATCTTGTTACTAAGTTGTTGTTAATGATTGCAGTATTTTAGGTCATTGTGCAATGAATCTGCTCCTGTGTTGCTTTTGAACTTAGAATACGCATTAATATGGATTCTGGGAGTTGCATTCTCCGTAGCTCTTGCATATTGTTCAACATTAACTCACAATTTGTTATTTTTTGGGAAAGATTTGTTATTCCCAAAGAGACTTCAGTGCAAGGAGAGTGCAAACTAAATTCAACAGCCCAAAGCCAGACTGTGTTTGGCGTGTGTGCATGTGGTTCTGCCCGAAGCATAAAGAGCTACTGGCTGTCAAATATAATTGATCTCTTCATGCCTGTAAATCATTAATGCGTATTAAGAAATTCATCTATAAACTGCATTGCTTTTTTGAAGAAAAGGAACTAGATTATTTTTTGTCTTGGAGCACAAGGAACCTTACTACTTACAACATTTCACTCCTGACACATGATGAAGTCAATAAAGAAAACACTTTCTGTACTACAATACAGTGTCAACAGCAAAGAGTGTAAGCTATGCTTTTGTTCAGTACAGAACTTGTATATTTACAGAGCAAATGTGTTGTGTTTTGTAGAGTTGACTCCATCATGTTGGTGGAGGAGGGCTTTAATATGACAAGCGTGGATGCCAGCGACAAAATGCTCAAGTACGCACTGAAGTCACGGTGGGAGAGAAGAAAAGAACAAGCTTTTGACCAGTGGGGTACGCCAGTTCTCATTTGAGCATTATTTCTTATTTTATCAGGTGATGTCTTCATGTTTTCTTTATGTTTTACTTTACGGACGTTGTTTTCCCTCAGTGATTGAAGAGGCCAATTGGTTGACGTTATCAGAGGATCTTCCAAAACCAGGCCCTGGCTTTGATGCTGTCATCTGCCTCGGCAACTCATTCGCCCATTTACCAGACTTTAAAGGTACGTTAAAGTTAAAGGAAGAAAGATATTACTTCAACAATCCTTTTTTCCAAAGAACTTTCACATTGATTTAACATTTTCCCTGGATTTGGGATTACAAAAGTAACCAATGATATATGGATTACAAACCATCTCCTACAAAGAAAGGTCTAGCCTTGAGTTGAATTCCAATGATCATCCAATGTTTATTGCTCTCAGGGGACCAGAGTGACCAAAAGTTGGCCCTTCAGAACATTGCCAGTATGGTGAGACCTGGTGGGATCCTCATCATTGACCACCGTAACTACGACTACATCCTGGAGACCGGCCAGGCGCCACAAGGCAAAAATATCTACTATAAGGTACTAAACTTAAAAGTACAATCACAATATATAATGGAGATATGTGAAATGAAACCAAACCAATAAGCTATCGGAAGCTTTAAAAGGGGGTCCCGACACACTAAACAAAAAGTGTTTACAATATACAGATGTAGCACTCCAGATAGGACTCCAGCTTACAGCTTCCTGCCTAAGACCAGCGTCTGGGAATGTTAAGCCCTCCCACTATTTTCCAAGAGGGCGTTGCCAGATTTTCAATTTCAGGATTTAACCAGGAGATGGCGCTTCATTCACAAATACAGAAAGACAACTTTTCATGGACTTTCAGTTGTGTTTTGAAGAGCATTTGAACACATCAATATTTTAGATCAAATAAAGTATATCTAATCTTGTAATTCAATAATATATAGTCTTTATATATTAAATAATCATAATAATAATGTAAATGTTTACATTACACTTCTTTATTTGTCATGCTCATACTTTTACCTTTACAATCGTTTGCTTTAATATGCAGTATATTTTTTGTATATTTTTGTGTTTGCTTCCTCCTGCTCCCTTTCGGACACATACTGTATGATTTATTATTATTATTAATATGAAGATATTATTAAGATAAGATGTTACTTTATTGATTGAACATTTTAGTTTAGAATGTGCTATCCCACGGTATTTCAGAAGGCTCACAGGTCACATTCCGACCATTATTTAAAACAATAGGTGCGATTAGGTGTGGCCCTTTTTTATCAGTAACGAATTTAGCAGTTGAACATAAAAGTCAACTAACTGAGTGTCACTTGCAATGACAGTATTGTGTTTTTATTTTATTAACCTTTTACATTAAAAATGGTTGTTGAATATATAAATATTATTATGAATATGGATAAATACTAGGCTATTTATTATAAACGTTAGTCCTTAACATCTATCACTGTGTATATCACCATTCTTTAATTAAATGTTTGATAAGTGCATGCAGATCACAGTACAGTAAAACACGTACACAGATACATTATTTTGTATTTATATTGAAGTAGCCTTATAGAACCTGATGACAATGTCAATTTCACTTTCCACTATGTCCACCTTTATTTTGCACAACCAATGGCAGAACTTTATTGAGGCCTGTAATTAGTCAACTACAGGTATCTTGGGTCAGTCTTGTCTTCCAAAAATCAGGAAGTAAAGTCCCCTGGTTTGTGACAAGATGTGAAGTCAACAGATAGTCACTCAGAGGGGGGTACTATTTCTTTTCAAATGCATATAGGCTATGCCACCCATTTACATGTAGGCTACACCGCTCTTCCAGTCAAGAATTTTAATTTGAATGGGATGGGGAGACGTGTGTGATTAAAAATGAGTGGCCAAATTAAGACTTAGTTTTTCAAAAGAGAAAATGCAGATATTACACTCAGAAAAGAAATGGCAGACATATCAGTACTCTTAGTGCCAAGTTGTCTCAGACAATCTGCATTTCCTAATGTGGGACAGTTCTGTGCAAAATGTGGGACACTGAAAAGTCTATGTTAAAAAGCCTCAGTCACCTTAATTCATGTAATGAAAACATCTCAGGTCAGTAACACTAAAAGCTAAAAGTGCAATACCATGTTCAGCTCTGTTACTATTTATAATGTTATTGTTGTTACAACAGAAGATGTTTTTCTTTAAATTGAAGTTAAATGCATCAATCTGGTGCACTTTGAGGGCAAAATTAAGAGATTTATGGTGTTCACACGAGACGGCTCCATTTAGCTCCAACCGCTGGAAAAAGCTGCAGTACATATGCCGAGCCTGTACGTAGCGCTGTAACTTCCTCCACAAAAGCAGCGAAGAAGCATGGATGTCATGGTTGCCCTTCTGTTTATTCACCGTGGTGGGGGCCGAGGGAACCGGGCAAAAATTATAAAAGTGCCGGTCAAAGGTCTTCTTTGTTATTTATTGAGCTTTAAAACAAATGAATAACGACTATATATAATAATAAAATACACGGAGCCTGGCCTCTCTTTTTCCTCCCTCTCTTCTGACAGCGTCAGTGTCTGTCTCATGCAGCAGCTGATCCAAGCACTTTTCAAACCTTGATTTACCATCCTTCATCTGTGTCTATTAATGTTGAGCATTTTCTGTTCCAAACACAATCGCTGTAGTTCTGACGTAAAACTGAAGACTTAAGTGTAAAAATGCTTTTTTTACACTTTAGTCTTTTAACCTTTACCTTCTTTAAAGTCCAGTGAAATGGGAGCGGCTAAGCACTCTGTGTAGATTCAAATGGAAACATATCTGTTCTGTGAGGCAGGCCCCTTGTTATTGTGTGTTGAAGATCACAGTTGGTATGTGGATTATCGACTCTTCATGTTCATTCATGCGCTTTCTCATTTCCTGTTCTGGTCTGAACTGTCACCTTCTTCTTAGCATGAAACCTCTTCTTCACTGAACTGGTTCTATTCAGTCTGATCACTGAGGGCTTAGGTGTCTGTACTTCTGTCACATTACTCATCAAACTGAGGATTCTTATGTTGATGGGAAGCCAGATGGGGATCACACAACCTGTGTATCCAAGCTCCAAATGAAAATCATTTTGTGGGGTCCCATGTGTTTCAGAGATTTTGTCTGTGTGACTACATCTTCCTCAGGCCAACAGTGTGTGTTAGCATGGAGGAACTGACACTGAAGAAAAGTGCAAGGGCATGTGTTACTTTCAGTTTACTGCATATTACGTAAAGAACTGGTTCATTTACGTGTTTAAGTTTAAATAATGCCGTTGACCTTTGTTTTTGTGTGTGTCTGTGAAGTTGTTCTGATTCCTCAACATCTACTAATGACTGTTGTCAAAACCGTTTTCTCTCAACAATTTTCACCATGCTGTTCTAGTTGTATTTACTTATATTAGAAATAGACTGTCCTTCTTGCAGAGGATTGGAAAGACTCATATTGTTTAGGAATGTTTTATTTACATCTAGCCCGAGCAGCAGCTGAGTTTAAGACCTAAATCTCTACCCAGAGCCTGCCGGATATTGTCAGATTTTCATCGAAAGTGGCCCCAGAGAAACAGAAGGAAATGTGGATGAAACTGTCAGGTTTACGACTTTCTGTTGCCAATGGGGAGACGAACAGATCATGTCAGGAGTACTGAGAGTAAAAATGTATTTGGGATGATGACAAAATTGAGCTTTCGTATGTGGTTTAAAATGACGTGTTGCTAAAATGCAAATGTATTTGCATAAGCAGCACATGTTTGTTTTCATATATCTAGGGTTAAGTTACCAATCCTGCAATTTATTATAATTTATCTTACAAAATATATAATATGCAATCATAAAGACACAACAGCGGGAACCAACAGAAAGGAGCCTTATTTTATTTATTACCCACAAAACAAGTTCCATATTCCTTAATCCAAAGAAAGAATGAAGTAACCAGCTGGAAGGCCTAAGTAGAAACTAAGTCAACAGTCATGTGCTGGAGAAAGATCCACTCCTGATCTTCTGATCCTCTGTAATCCCAGTCTGCTCCTATAGTCTCCATATATAAGAGCCACTGCCTGGTGGTTCAGTCCTACTGGTTCTTGGTGCCTTACACTCAGCAGCGTGTCTCATTATTGTGTCTGTTTGTGTTGCAGAGTGATCTCACTCAGGACATCTCTACCTCTGTGCTGTGGGTCAACAATAAGCCCCATATGATCACTCTGGACTACACCATCCATGTGCCCAAGGCCGCTCTGCAAAATCTACCTGAAGTCAGGTACGTCCACTCACAGAACACTGTATTTACAGAAGCCACGCCCACCGCTAGGGGCGGGACAATACGGGACAAAAAGCCTCTTGTATCTGGGTGAAATGTATTTAATCAAATATTATCATATTTTTAGCCAAATACTTCAATATTGATATTGCAACGATATTTTACATTTTGCTTTTGTTGTTTCATAAAATATTTAAACTATAAGAGTTTTGAAAAAATATGTATTAGTAATGTTGATATCATGACTTAGTGGGTAAAGACTGATAATAACTAAATCATTTTAATATAATGCAGCATTCAAGAAAGGAAAAATACTTGTGCCATATTAGGATAAGACAATGTCCCAAATATAACACCATATCTACTGTCGTATCACACCATTGACATCATATGAATACACTGCCCAGCCCTAATATGTGGTTAATTTAAGTTGTGGTATATATCATTTTTCAATATCTCAATATAATACATTCTCTGGAGAATCAAGTGAGTGATCTAATGCAATGCTTCTCAAACTTCTTTCAGTAATGTACCCCCTTTGAAACATTTTCTCAGCCAAGTACCCCCTGACAGACCCCGGACATTTTTGATAGAAAAAGCCTATATAAATAATTACAATATAGTGATGTTCCATCAGTGTTTGATTTATTAACTCCTTCATGCATGATTTACAACAAACTAAGGATATTTTCATCTTTATGCCATGAAAAAAAAGAATATAATGAAAACAAATTAAAACAGATTATTCCAAGGAGTTTTTCAATTGAAGTAATATTTAACAAACCAATGAACAAAATGATATATTATGAAAAACTATAAACTACAATACACACATTTGACATGTTTATATGAGGACCCCCTAAATGGTTCTAGGAATATTTGATATAAAATAGTGTTTTCTATTTAACTTATTGTACTAAGATTACAACCTTAAAATCACTGAGAATATCTGCGTCTTTGCATGCAAATTTGCACAAAATAAGTGTTACCCTATATTTTTGGAGATATGAAAGGTAATTGCAGTGGGATTTTTACTTGACCAATTACGGACATGGCAGCATAAAACAGGATAAGAATCACCAAGGATGTTGACGTACTACACATTTATTCAGAGCCACAGAATATACATATGAGTATTATCACATTTGATTGAATTGAATAGCCAAGGTCACCAGACATGTTAGACACAATAAAAGTGAAGATAGTGAGCAGGAATTCTAACATTCTATTGTTTTCCATCCGCAGTAAATTCCGTCTCTCCTACTACCCTCACTGTCTGGAGAGCTTCACTGGGTTACTGAAGGAGGCGTTCCACGGCAAAATGGAGCACAGCGTCTACGGAGACTTCAAGACGTACGTCCCTGCCCAGGCCCAGGCCCCCTGCTACTTCATCCACGTCTGCAAGAAGACCGCCTAGATGCCACACACGCACACGTGCACACGCACACGCACACACACAGAGCTATTTGAATATGTTTTAAATCTTTATATTTAATCTTAGATCTTGATAAAAAAAATTAAAAAGCAGCATATTTGCATATTTGGTGCAGGAATGAGTCCGGCAATGAGTTAGCATTTTAGCACTTGCTGTTTCCTTAAGGTCAACGGGTATTACAAGCTGAAGAGATGTTTTAAATGTGATCTACGATAGAAAACACCTCAGTAAATAGTCCACTGGGGATTTTCTGGAGCTTCTATTTGTCTAACATGAGGCTAAATGAGACTACTAAACGTGATCATGGTGAACATTAGCCGCCTTTAGCTTAGCGGTGGTGACATTAAGTAATCTTTGAAGCATAACATTAGCTATTTACGTCTGTCGGTCCACTTAAAAAACAAATCATTAAGTGGTGTTAGTATCTGGAGATTATCCTGCTGAACAAAATGTGTAGTTATCAGTAACATGTGTTTGCCACAGATCTTAAATCAAGTGGAAAAATCCCATTGCTTTTTGTGGAGGGAGCCCTTTGCGATGCTAACTTCCGGGTCGGCCTACGTCATCACTGCACCACTCTGTCATCTTTTGACTTCTTTTGTCATGAACATACGAAAGCTGGAATGATAATCATATTTTAAAAAATGATCATGGTCGGGTAATTCATGCATTACTCTGATTGTAAAAAGTGAGCTAAAATATTTGGCTTTACCTGATACAATTGGTTGATTCATATCTCACCTTTTTACTTAATCCACAGTGCGTTCCCAACATTCTCAAATAATAACAGTCTTAAAGGATCAAAACTGGTTTGAAAAATATATTCAAAATGTATCGGACCACTGTCTTGCCCATATCTGTTTTTTTCCCAATGTTCTTTATGTTGCTTTTCTTTTTCCTCCCTGCTTACTGCCTTTCTGAACTTTAATATCCACAATAATGTTTTGAAATGGTGCTGTACATCAGTGATATTCCTCATGATGGAACACTTGATATTACCAGCATGTTATGTACAAAGTGCTTGGATATTTTCTTAAACAATTGAACTTTACCACAAGAGTCTTAAAACTAAAATTGTGAATACAACGTACGGTATGTAGGCTTTCTTTGCTGGAAATACAAAAGTAACATAGCCCAGCCATTTAAGGCAAATCTGGCCCTGCATGATGGCCTTCCTTTCATTGCAGCCCCCAACCCATTTTACATTTTTTGTTTAATATTTATCTTGCAAACCTTGGTGGAGTCCCTAGAAATACCTAAAAACAGACAGTGAAGATTTGTAATCACCCTAAAAAGGCCTGGTTTATTTTCTGATCAACAATCCTCCACCCTTTAGTTTTCTTCTTCCTCGGGACCTCCATCTCCAGAGCTCCATCACTTCTGACCTCTGAAGCTCACGAGAGAACGGCTTCTGATATTGGAATTTAATTTAATACTTTTTTAGTAGAAATTAAGGTTTTGTATACCTGGTCTCTGGCTTCTTATTTGACGGTACCATTAAGTTTAATTTATTTGAGTCTTTATAATTCCTGGTGACTATTCTTTATTAGTCCAGGTTTAATCTAAAACCACTACTCCTTTGTCATGTAGAAACAAACGTCTTTGAAATTGTTGTCAACCAAAGATTATTTTCTTGGAATTAAATTGCGTTAAAAATGAGAAAAACTTGAATGTCAATCAACTGGAAGAATAATGTATTGTGCTGTATAATCCAGGTCCAAATATATTTTTGCTGTGACACCAAATTAAATGCCAGGGGAAACACATCTTATCATCACGTGGCTGTTTGCCTTAAGAAGGAGCGCATGGTGCATTCAAATACCTCCTGTAAATGCAGGGTAGAGCAGCGTGTGACTGAGATCAGTAGGTTCAGAGTGTGGTGAGATGTATGGATGTTTGTGTGGCTTTTAAAGTTTATGTTGCGATAAAACCGTTTCACAACAGTCTTATGTTGCCAATTCTTAAAAAAACAAGTGTCAACATTTTATAATGAACAATGATTATTGGAAATAAAAAGATATATTAAATAAATCTGATTCTCACATTTTATTTTTTGTTTCATGTTGCTGTGATTGATGATACTACTGAGTTTATATTGATGTAAGCTCACGGGGCTTTCAATTCATTTGAATTCGGGATGAAAGCATCCCCTTGTGTCATCTTTTGTTTTCAGAATCACCATTTTCGTATGGCAACTGTTTAAAAGCTGCATTTTTTTCTAAATAATGACATGACGTATTAGACAATTGCCACTTTATTCCATTAAAAACAGATATCCATATCAGAATCAGACGACTTCATTTTTCCTCTGTTGAATTGCTCTAATCTGTAAGAATGTGCAATAAAAAGATCAAATAAAGTACAAATATGTATATAAACCTAAGAAGATAAAGTAAACTGTCGAATAAAATATTAAATGAATTAGAGTTTAAATATTTATTTAAACATAAGAAGTTAAATCAACATTATAAACAAAACGTTAAAAAAAATATATACAAATTAAAAAAAAACATAAGTTAAAGGAGCCTTTTAAATAAAACATAATAAAATAAATACAAGTATTTATAAAAACATAAGAAGGTAAAGAAATACATCAAATGAAATATAAATAAAATAAAAAGCATTTATATAAACATAAGTAAAATGTCCAATAAAACATTTCTAAAATATAATACAATTATTTATAGAAGTTTAAGAAGTAAAGGTAAAAATGTGCACATTGTACTACAATATACAATATGTCCATTACAATATACACAGGCATGTCTTCTTTAAGTGCAGGACACATGTCAGACACAAGAGGGCGACGTTACGTCACATGACTATTGAAACAGGGTCAAACTCCTTTAGTTCACTTCTGCTTTTTGTCTTAGCATAACACATTTTTACCTTCATACCAATTCCGTAATTTATCTTAATATTTAAGTTTTAAATGTCCCATTTTTTGACACTCTCAATCAAAACTCAATTATATTTACTGTCATTGCTTAAAGGTAGGGTAGGTAAGTTTGAGAAACCGGCTCGAGATCGCTAGAATTTGAAAATACACAGCCGGAGAAAATCTGCCACTTCCTTACAGAGCCCCTCCTCCAACACACACGAACGCGCACATGACCAATGAGGGCACGAGATAAGTTTGTGCACAGATGGAAGGCTGACAGGCAGGTAGGCCATCCAGTTATTTTAGCCGGGCCGGCTAAAATGATTGGTCGTGCTTTTTACAGTATTACTGCTTCCACAGATGACATTTTTTAATGGATTTTTTGTCAAAGCACTTAAGATATTCATTGCTATCGGGATGTTAAGAGCATTCCATGGAATATAACAAAAAGTGTATCTCGAGCCGGTTTCTCAAACTTACCTACCCTACTTAACTGTTTGATAACCGAATAAGGTTTACACAAACAATTAATTTGCTTTGGTGTTTATGAGTGTAAGAGAAAATAAGATGTAAAATGAAGGCAAATTATAAAAAGCTATTGTCAAATAAAATATAAAACTTTTTATAAAAATATAATATACAAAAAAGAATTACAATAATAATATGGTCATTAACTGTGAAAAATATGTGCAGAATATATTTTCATTTAAAAGTGGAATAGCAGCACAGTTATAAAGAGGGAACAATGTGCAGACGTGCACAAAATGTGCAAAAGCTTACACTATAAGGAAGGAGTACAAGGAAGGACAAAGATGTCACGAGATGTGCATTTGTTAGAGATTAAAATCAATGTTTTATGGCATGATTTAGTCTAAAACATACCGTCAGTTTAAAAGCAGTCAGATGAAGAACTCATTACTTTTAGTATTGTGTTCACACCTTAAAAGGTGTGAAAGGAGGGATTGTTAGAAATTAAAATCAATGTTAAACAGCATAATTCAGTCTAAAATATATCGTCAGTTTAAAGCTGTTTTATTGTGGAAAAACCCGGAAGTTCTCAGGAAATCAATGCCAAGCTTTTATTCTGAAGGTCCTTTGTCCGGTTAGCAAGTGACTAAATGTTGCGTTTTCTGAATGTAAAGTGAAAGTGACTTGGAGTGTTATACACCAAAAACGAACAGACTTTAACACTACATCGATAGACGTTAAGATATTACTACTGCTGAATATTAAATGAAGGTACAGTTGATCATGGAGTGTTTACACATTACGTGAGTAGCTATGACGTCAGAGGGAGCTACCGTAAACGAGAACGGTGTCGTAAAAGTGTTTCTAGGACTTCTAAACTAACGATTACAGCTGTTTATAAGGTATTAAATAGAAAGTCATGACAGAGATAAGGAGGAGAGAATGCTTAAGGAAATAGGCAGAGAATACCAATGTCGAAATCATCTGTGCTCTCGCGATATCGAACCCACAAGATGAGAAGGGCGGTCCCGCTATCTTCACAGCGGGGGACAACGAGACGTGGATAAAAACAGCGGACAGAGGACCGCTCCCCCCTTTCCTTCGCTGCAGCCTCCCTCAAGACAACACCGGCTTTGTCTCTCCATTACCCATGCTTGTTCTATAACCACGTTACTTAATTAAACTACCCATTTGAACCTTTTCAGAGACTCCATTAGTCTCGTTATTTTAAACTCCTCTCCTGGGCGCGAGAACATCGAATACTTCAATACATTCAAGTAAAATACTGTACGTTTATATCTTATAGGGTTAGCTCACATCAAAGACCCACGGCCTCTCCCCCCCCCCATGTCCTGTAAGTGACAGAACCTGTGACGTGGTTCTGTCTGGCTTTCTAACATATCTGAGTGTGCTAACACTGTACTACTCTTCATAACTGTTTCTATTTTAAACTGAATAAGAATATAGATTAGGAACATAAAACTGTGAGTAAAATGTACCTCTACCTACTTATGTGCATTTAGTTTAAGTTAAAATCAATTATGCATGTATGTTTGAAAATATATATTTTTTACGTTTATTTTTGTTAATTAATCATTATTGTGTACTGATATTTATAAAGTATTATTATATATCAAATATATTTTAATTCATTTTTTTATTGTGTATTATTATTTGTAACTTATCATTATTGTTATTATAATTTATATATTTATTTGAAAAATGTATGTGACATTTTTACTGTTTGCAGATTTTTTTTTTTTTTAAGGGGGTCGTAAAAAAATTTCAACAGTCACACATCTGCATGTTTTATATTACACTGAATGGATAACAAAGCTGCTACAGTATGTTGTTCATGAAAAAGAAAAGCAGATTAAAAATAAAAGACCCAATGCCTTCAAATTGTTGTGTTTTCTTGGTAGATAAATCCTAGCTTTTACCTTGTACCTCTTTTTTCTAGACAATGCTGCAACATATCATACTTCAGAGAACGATAGAAAGTTCCTCCAATAAAACAGACTGCTGTCTCCGTCAGTGAGGGACATTTCCTGTCTCTCCCTGACCTCTGAACATCCCAGCAGACCTCTGAACATCCCAGCTCCTCTCCATCTCATCTCCGAGGGAACGCCATCAGACTGGACGTCGAGGAGCTGATACACAAACCAGATGTGAGGAGCGTTCGCCAGATGTGGCTGCTTTGCTGCTGTTAGGGAGTCAGAGTGGTCAACCATGACTGGCTCTACTGGGGAGGATCACTTTCAAGGAACCTCATTGGCCGAATCAAACAAAAACAGAGAGAGCAGAGAGAGCCGATAGGCTGGAAAGAGGGAGACGAGTAATTATGATTAATAATGTTTTTACTGAGGAGCCTTTAAAGGAGAGGAGATGTTGGATCGAATAATAATACTTTTTATGATATCCATCCTATTAACACATGAATATGCAGGGTTCTTACACCTTTTCCAAAGTCAAATTCAAGCACTTTTCAAGCAATTTCAAGGTGCATTTTCAAGCTTTTCAAGCATCTTACAGCTGTTGTAAATTACATATTTATATACACATACTTATACTCAAATGATTATTTCCCTACCTCACATTAAATCAGATGTTCTTTATGCTATAAACAACCAAATGTGTGTTTCGTAATAGCATTCTACATGAGGATGAAACATTTAAAGGGCCCATGTCATGGCCATTTCCACTGATCATAATTACATTGTTGAGGTATACTAAAATAGATTTATACTGTGCAATTTTCCAAACTCACATTGGTTTCGCATACAGCATCTCTGTCAAGCATGTGTATTCAGCAGTATTCACTTTCTCCACTAAACGACTCGTTGGAGCTCTTGCCCCCCCCTCCCTGTGAGCCTAGTGTGCTCCGATTGGTCAGCTCGGCCACTCTGTTCTGATTAGTCAACCACCAGAGAGGCTGCGCCCATGTCTAACAGTGCTTTTCCCGGCTGCTCTCAGCGGAACATCAGTCTTATCATGGCGTCGGTACAGCCGTATATTTTATATACATATATATTTTTAACTGTTGTTATAGAAGAGTGTGACGGCCCCAGGGCCTTTGTCTTACGATGGGGTGGAGCTGAAGAGGCTAATCAGCACGATCACGGACACCTCCGGAGCCGAGGTGCTATTAAGCCCAGCTGCCCGGAGTCACACGACGGCCCCTGTCTCTCTCCAAAGCGGCTGCAGGAAGACTAACTCTGCAATCCTCTCAACCACCTATCTCTGCATTTACCACAATAAATGTGCCGTGGTTTTGTAAACTCGTGTATGTCTCCTTGTCTTTCCGTTGTGGCCTACGAGCCGCTCATAACAAAGAGTAAGTTATTTTTACCCGTTATAAACTACTACTGTTTGATGAGAAATCAAATCATGGTTTGCTATATATGAATTCAGGGAAGAAAGGATAGGCCTACTAAGTATTTCCATTAAACTTTATTTTTAGAAATGTACAAAATGAACATAAATATACATATATACACACGGTATATCATCCATTCCTCCTCGCATCTTGCCTGCGCACAGCCGGTGCGGTGCCTTTTAGCACGAGGCCTCAGTAGTAGTAGAAGTCCCGTCCCCGTCATGGATTGTCCGCCAGGATCTGGCTGGACGAAATCAAATGCAAATCACAAAATATTAGAGAAACTTAGTTGTTTTAGATTCGTTA